CAATGATGACCGCGTAACAAGTGAATGTGCGATGATGACCACGTAACAAGTGAACGTGCGATGATAACCGCGTCGTCGTCGTTTCTTCCCCGCAGCATCCTCGGTAACCGCGCATCCGGTGCCTACCAGTTCCTGCAGCGACAGTTCTGGTCCTGCTACAAGCTTCTAGCGAACATCACTCTCTTCACCGGCCTGCTCTCCAACTCCGCCATCCAACAGATGGCGCTAGATGGCCTGCTCAATCGCTACATCCTGCTCGCACTGCAGAACTCCGACCCAGGGGGCGACACCGTCGACAAGTGCAAAGCGGTGAGCGAGTCGATGAATTCGGCGGAAAAAAATTGCGATTATAGTCATTAAAATTAATATTGTTATTGTGGTATTGTATTAGAGGTGTGGATTTTACGTGTAGAATTCGCATTAAAAATTAACAAACGTAATTATGATTATTTAAATTAGAATCAATTGATGAGAATCAAATAAATTTTTAATGATTAATTACCATTTGAGTTATCAAATTACTAGTTAATATCATTGTGATGTTGACGTTACGCGAATATATATATTGGGACCTAACACCTAGATTAAAGTGATAACGTCACTGTAAATAGTAAAAACAAAAAAATATATATTTCCACTTTTTCACAAAATACAAGTAATTCTGTTTATACAAGTTACTGTAACACTTTTTATGGTTAAATTGCTGCATTATACTTCCTATTTTACTATATTGTTCGATGTGAACATACGCTCGTGACTCATACATAGCCCATAGCAAGCAATTAATGTCATGAACATAAATTCAAATCGTCCAGGTTTTTTGGATTTTTAACTAGTTGAGAAACAATCTTATCAGGTAAGAATTTGACGATACGTTTAGTCCCGTTAGTTCTTACTTTTAATGTAAAATAATGGATTTTTTTTTTACAAGAAAAGTCGTGACGTAGTCAATTTAACAGGAGAGAACATTATTTTATTATAATTTATTACATTTAGAATTGTGTAGTGATTGTGCCGTCGTCACGTTCGTTTGTTTACTAGCGGATCGTCACGTGTACGACGTTCCCTTGTTTCCTAGCCGATCGTTGCATGATGCACGTTCGCTTGTTTCCTCGTAGATCGTCGCGTGATGCACGTTCGCTTGTTTCCTCGCAGATCGTCGGCTGTCTGCCCAAGTCGTGGTTCGCGCACCTCGGCGCCGACCACACGCTGCCGCGACTCGAGCCGCTCTGTCGTCTGCTAGCACACGTGGCGTCCTCTATCGACGCGCAAGCGCTCGGCAACAAGGACATGGCCACCAGGCAGGAGACGAGGTAGGTGCGCGCGCGCGTAGATCTCGCCAGGTGGCGCTATAGGTGCGGGGCGCGCGAGGCGGTAGGGATGGTTGTTGTTTTTTTGGAGAGGTTTCGCTTTTTTGCGAGTGATTGCAGTGAATTGATAATGATGGTCAAATTTATAGGACAAGGTTATATATGTATGGGAGCAAATGAAGTAGCATGATGATGATGATGATGATGATGATGATGATGATACGTGCGACTGTTCATCCTCCATATCATTCTCTCCCTCTCTCCTCTCTCCCTCTCCCTTCTCTCTCTCTCTCTCTCCTCTCCCTCCCTCCTCCTTCTCTCATTCTCTCCTCCCTCTCTCCTCTCTCTCCTTCCTTTCTCTCTGTAGCTGTCTATCACTGCATCTATCTATCTATCTCTGCATCTATCTGTCTATCTCTGCATGTATCTGTCTATCTGCTGCAGGGATCAGATGAAACAGCTGATGAGGATGATGGTGACTGTACACGCGATGTATCACCCTCCTCCCTCTCCCTCCCTTTCTATCTATCTGTCTATCTCTGCATCTGTCTGTCTATCTCTGCATGTATCTGTCTATCTGCTGCAGGGATCAGATGAAACAGCTGATGAGGATGATGGTGATAGTACACGCGATGTATCATCCTCCTCCCTTTCCCTCTCTCTCTTTATCTATCTGTCTATCTCTGCATCTCTCTCTCTCTCTCTATCTGTCTATCTCTGCATCTATATGTCTATCTGCTGCAGGGATGAGATGAAACAGCTGATGAGGATGCTGGTTACGGTACACGCGATGTATCACCCTCCTCCCTCTCCCTCTCTCTCTTTATCTATCTGTCTATCTCTGCATGTATCTGTCTATCTCTACATCTATCTGTCTATCTGCTGCAGGGATCAGATGAAACAGCTGATGAGGATGATGGTGACAGTACACGCGATGTATCACCCTCCTCCCTCTCTCTCTCTCTCTATCTATCTGTCTATCTCTGCATCTATCTGTCTATCTCTGCATGTATCTGTCTATCTGCTGCAGGGATCAGATGAAACAGCTGATGAGGATGATGGTGACAGTACACGCAATGGACCACGCTCTCAACGTCTCCAACAAGATGTCCCTGAAGGAGCTGAAGAACATCGTGCCCGACTAAAGAGCGCGCTAATGAGCAGTCTAACGAGTGCACTAACGAGCAGTCTAACGAGTGCACTAACGAGCAGTCTAACGAGCTAGTTAACAAGTACGTTGGCGAGCATGTTAACAAGTACGTTAACGAGCGGGTTAATGAGCTAGTTAACAAGCACGTTAATTAGCTAGTTAACGAGGTAGTTAATGAGAACAATTATTAACTAGTTAACAAGTGCATTAATGAGCTAGTTAACGAGCGCGTTACCAAGCCGGTGAACGAGTTGGTTAACGACCAGTCCAACAAGTGTACCAAGAAGTAGCATATCAGAATCGGTACTAACACACAGGTTAATTAGCATGTTAATGAGCTGGTTGAGCAGGATAACGAGTCTGTTAACGGAAAGTGAACGAGCGAGTTAATGGCAAGTTAACGAGCGAGTTAATGGCAAGTTAACGAGCTAGTTAATGGCAAGTTATTGAGTGAGTTAATGGAAAGTTAACGAGCAAGTTAATGGGTGAGTTAACTTGAGGGCTAGTACGTAGACTGCTGTATCAGAGCAAATGCGCCGAAATGACGGTCCGTCCCTGTCAGAGCAAGATTAAGAGAGGGCAAGATGGGAAGGAAGAGACAGTGCGACAGAGAGTGCGGAAAGAAGGAAGGGAGGCAGAGTGAGAAGTGATTGATAGCTTGAGAGAGAAAGGGAGAAAGAACATTGTGTTATAGTTTTATATCAAAGAAAAGACTTTGTTGTGGGATAGTCATAGGAGTCATTGAGTATATATCCTTAATGAATCCATGTCATTCTGCGACCAGGGGTTCGGTCTGTAGTCCGTGGTAGACCACATAATTAGGTTAATTGAATTTCATGATAATAATGAGGGTAAATTTGTATTACGATGAATCGACGTGATTAACCTTATTTCAAGTCATTTCAGTTCTTCTTCTTCTTCTTATTGTTTCAGTATCAGAACTTATTTTAGGATAAATCTGCATTTTTCAACACGTTAGCCGATATTGGATTAAGTTTTGCGAAATTGTCACCAGGTGGCAGCAGATTGGTAAAGCCATGTAGACAGACTGTCACGACTGTTATCAAGAGTACATAATAGAGATTTGCTAATTGCATAATTGCTATTATGTAACTATTATCTATATTATGTAACTTGCTGAATACGATGATTCATCGTAAAATAAGTGCAATCTCATTCACAGGTGCAGCTACTGTGTCCCCAGGGATAGCAACCTATCTAATAAATGCTATAGTATCATGAGTGTATAATATAGACATATAATATCCTCCATATATACACTCCTGATACTATGCTATGTCATGCTATGCTATGGTATGCTATACTGTGGTATGCTATACTATGGTCTACTATAGTATGGTATGCTGTGCTGTATTATACTATGTTTTCTTACGTCCTGGTATGCTACACTGCACCATGCTACGATACACCATGATATGTGATGGGGCACTATGCTATGCTACTCTACACTATGCCATGTCATGTTATAATATCATGCTATGTTATGGTACACGACGCTATGCCATGTAAAAACCAGCCCACATGAAGGGAGTCGCCGAAAACTCCCCCAAAATGAAGCCGAAAAGCCGACGACAATACATAAAAGAAAACTCCCCCGGGATCCTTCCTTCCTCCTCCCGCGCCCTCCTCCTCCTCCTCTCTTCTTCTCACGCTCCCGCCCGTTCTCTCCGCGCGACACAGGCCGACTGCAAGCCCATCGACCAGATGGCCTGGTTCGACGCTCTCTTGTTTTACGGCTGCGAGGACGACGCGCCGCCGACGGACGTTGCCGCCGCTGCCGACGATGACGATGCCAAGCTCATACCGAAACTCATCGAGAAGGTGGTTCTGCCGCGGCTCACAGGTATGCGCGGCGCCCCCTGGCGGGGCGCGACGGTGTCTGGGGGGAGGGAGTAGAGAGTCGGTAGTCGTGGCGACGCAGCGGATGAAGATTCGGGGAGTGCGGCCCCCGGCGTGGAAAGTCGCGGAATTTTACTTTTCCGCTTTCCGGTTTGGAATGTCCCGGGAAATAGACGGTAGTCCTGTGTGACCCTTATGTCAGCGCCCCCTATGTAGGCAACACCGCTGTCAGCGCCCCCTATGTTGGGGGTTCTTAAGCTGTTGTCCATGGTGGATGGGCTTCAGGGGGTCCGTGAACCAGGTGCATGCAAAGTTTTGTGTTTTTGTGCTTGTGTGCATTTTTTGCTGCCTTGACATCGTCAAGATGAGCTATTTCCACGGGGTTTCGTTCGTCGTACGTCCGTCTGTCAACGTTTGGCTACGGTCAACGATAACTCAAGAACCGTTTGACTCACATGTTTCTAATTGCATGCAGTTGTTACTCCTATGGGAGAGGTTTGAACGTCCTATTTTTATTTTTCCTACGAGCACGCCAGTTGACCTATATGAATGAATGAGGAATGACTGTGTGAATGAGTAAAAAGATACCTCACGCCATGCTCCTGGGTTGTACTGCCGCTTCTTCACTGAATGTGTGGATGAATGTGCAGAGGAACAAATGAGGGATGACTGGGAATGAATGAATGAACAATGGAGTGAGGAATAAAATCAATGAATAAATAAATAAATGAACGAATGAGTGAATGAATGAATGTAAGAATGAGTGAATGAATGAGAGAGTGTATGAAAGAATGAACAAAAGATGAATAAATATACGAGTGAATGACGTACGAATGAACGAGTGAATGGTTGAAAATAGATGATGAAATAAATAAATGATTGTATATATAAGTGAATGATCGATGAATGAATGAATGAATGTCAGTGGGTGGGGTAAGTTAACTGCTGCAGTTTACACAGGGAAGTGTGACCACTGAAATATATTTGGACTGAGGAAGATGGAAAAAGACCATTTTTGCGTGATTTACCCCTTCTTCGGCATTTTGTTTCCGCGTAGCCGGTGTTGGCACGAAAGAATGGTGCTTTATTCTCAGTGCCAATGTTGGCAAAAAATGTTGTTTTGTCACGCTCGATATGTGTTGTTATGTGATGGTGCAATGATGCCCAATAAAGGGTTGCAGAAGATGCACCCACGCAGGTACACACACACGTACACGCGCACGCACACGCACACGCACACACACACACGTACGTGCGCACGCACACACATGCACACACACACATGCACACATGCACGCACATAGACACACACATGCACGCACATAGTCACACGCACGCATGCACACATGCACGCAGATAGACACACACAAACACGCGCACGCACGTATGCACGCAGATAGACACACACAAACACATGCACATGCGCACACACACACACAGACGCACGCACGCATGCACAGACACGCATGCACACACAGACACACAACATCTTGTAAGCGATCACCCATGAAATGTGGATTTCCCGAGAGAGAGGGCGACACAAGCAACGACGACAGCGCGGCGACGTGTCCTGATTTCCCTTGTCGTCTCATAATGATTCGCGATCTGCCATGTTATAATACCATGCTATGTTATGCTACACAGCACTATGCTATGGTACATGATGCTATGCCATGCCATGTTATAATACCATGCTATGTTACGCTACACAGCACTATGCTATGCTACACGACGCTATGCTATGCTATGGAGGCGTGCTGATACGTGGAAACCTTGTAACACACTCTACAATTTGACGTTTACGACGCGTTGCGATAAAACTTAAAGGGTGAGGGCATGGCGTTGTTAGAAGAATCGTATCATGGCGAAGAACTATAATAATAATAGATTATGAAAGAACAGAAAATGTAACATGTGGAGGAAACGAGACCGAAACGAAATGTTCGTTAATGAGTTTGAACCATAGAAATATGTGATTCTGTTAATTAATTAATTATTGATTAGGATTGTGATACCGTAAACGTATCTGGCAACGCCCCCCCCCCGCGTGTCTCTATGGTAACCGTGTGTAGGCAGGCGCCTATATATATCTGTGTGTGCTGGTTGGTTTTGTGTTCCTTGTCGTGATCGGGAGTGAATAAAACCTAAAATTTGTTTTTATTCACCGATGTTGCGATCATTGTAAATATGCTAAGGAAGGGTGGTGAGGAAGTGTGCGTGTGTGCCTGCGCGTGCGTGCGTGAGTGTGGGTACGTGCGTGCGAGTGTGTGTGCGTGTGCGTGCGTGCATGCGTATGTGGGTACGTGCGTGCGTGCGTGTGTACGTTAAGTGTTGTCAAGCATCGATGATGCGGAATTCCTCAGATTCTCAGTAATCACCGGCACGCTGTCTTCTTAATTGCTAATTAATGCTTGCATGTGCGAACTCAGTGCGCATGCGTGTCGTGCCCCATCTCTCTCTCACTGTTGTTGTGACGTCATTCGTTCAGCTTTCGCGATGGAAACAAATAAATAATTGTGTGTGATTTGCAGCCAGTTTTGTTTGTTATTGTATATTCTGTCTGTATGTTTGTTTGTTTATGGGGGAGGACCACATCGAGAATAACAACTTGATGCCGTCGTGGTGTAAGCGCACAGAGGTTCCTCATTCAGTGTCTACATCACTAAGTCCATTGCGGTGAGTGATTTAAAGTTTGGTTGGTCGATTTTGTTGGAATTCACCAGTAGATGGCGCCCGTTGGCAGCACCTCCCAGAACCATAAATATGATGAGATCCATGTCTCTGAGAACTATATATATATACACATACATAAATATATATATACATTTTATATATTATATAAGTGTGTTTAAAAAGTGAATCGAAATGCTCGCTACCCTGGTGTCGTCTGGCTAGGGATAGCCTCACGTTATTCCATGTTGGCAGGGTTACTGTGATAGTCTTCTAACCATCCCGGTATTTCGACCCGTAGGTTGAGTCCGTATGGTTGGATGGTGTATGGTGGCCGAGGGCTGCCACTACAATTTTACCTCTGAAATAAATAAAAGCAAAAAAAAAAAAATCAAAATCAAATTCAAAACGAAATCAAAATCAAATCGTATATATATATATATATATGATATATATATAATTATAAATAATATGTGTCCCTGTGTGACTGCTATTTGGCTATTGCCAGCCTCTGATTGGTGTTATTGGGGCGAGTAATAAGTGTATATAGCGAGAGAGAAAAGAGAACTCGAGTTTTCAGTGATGCTTTTTTTCTGGGTGCCTCTTCTCTCCTCTCTCTTCTCTCTCTTCGGACTCTCTATCCTCCATCACTTGGTCCCCCCCCACCCTAGAGTGTACAGCCATGCATCGGAGCGGAGTCGTTTCGGCGGGGGAGTGGATTCAGATTGGTTTACGAATCGTGAAGATCCAATTAAAGATGAGAGAAAATGCGTTAGTTAACTTAGTACGCGCATGCTGGGTCGGCGTTCGCCACACTACCTATCATCACAGGTGCAAGGGAGAGAGACAGGAAACGAGAATAAGGGAGGGGAGAAGAGGCGAGCCCAATACAGAGAACGAGGAGAGGAGAGAGGGATTCAGGCCAAGCGGATCCGGGAGCGAAAAGCCAGACAGAATAGAGTGAGAAGAATGTGTATCAGGATGTTTCTGATAAAGTCGGAACCACTGTTAATCATGAGTAGATAATAGGCCTCTTATTACGAGCTAGACCTATATCTACTCCTGATATATATATTATATAGATATTATATATATATTATATATATAATATAGTATAGAGAGAGAGAGAGGAAGGAGAGGGCAGATCGAGAGAGAGAGAGATGGAGAAAGAAGAGAGAGAAACCCGCCAAAAAATAAACAATGCGCCACGTATATCAGACTCTTACCTCAGATGTCACCCGCTGAGAGTATTAGCTGTTGTGTGTGTGCAGGTGTCCATGGCTGGCTAGGTACAGGTGTTGTGTCTGTTAATTGTTATGCATGCCGGGCAAGCGCTGGTATACAACAGGAATGCAAGCGGTAAACACCACACACGCACATGTACACACCACACACGCACCATGAACACACAAACTCACACGCGCACACACACGCACGCACGCGCCACGCAAACGCACACACGCAACGCACACAACGCACGTACGCACGCCACACAAACGCACCGTGACGCCCGGCACACAACGCACGTAACGGCACGCACACCAACGCACGTATGCACGCACACAAGCGCACATACGACACGCCACAAGCGCACGTACACAACGCACGTACGCACGCACACAACGCACGTACGCACGCACAACACAGACCACACACACAACACAACGCACGCACGCACGCAGGAATAACGCCACGCATGTGTGTATGTGGGTACGTGTGCGCGCGTGTATGTGTGTGTGTGTCTGTCTGTCTGTAAGTGATACGGTATTAATTGAGAATTATGTTACCGGCAAAGGTTTCGGTGAAGTTAGCATCTGTGGTCATAATTAGCACGAATACACTATCGCGCTGTGTATGCACCGAGTCTTTGTAAGTCTTTTAATTAACTAGGCCTAGCAATCGTTTTTTTGTGTCATGCCTAGTCAGGCACAGGCCTGCCAGAGATATTGAGCCGAGAAGAGAATTTACATATATATATAATATATAAAAAC